CGGCGCTTTTTCAGCCCATCTAATTTCATGAAGTTTGAAAAGGATGAATCTGGAAGAATTGCTATTTTACCATTTTACCTTTATGTGATGCGCACTGTGAGTAGGGCTTTTGAGGACCATGCTATTATTCACAACTTTCTTTCCTTTATCTCTGTATTGAAGTTAATCCTTTTCTTTTTGAGCACTGATTACTGCTCATTGTTGTTCAGGTTTCGCTTACACAGGCCAGAATCGATATGAGTGAGCTTGATGAGGATTCTGATGGATTTCTTCAGCCTCATGTATGACTTTATGCATTTTTTTTTTAACACCACATTTGGCTATCGGGTCTTCCTGCTACTAGATCTTTATGAACACATTTATAGTAATTCACTTTTACAATCTTTTGTATAAAACAAGGACTACTTTTTTCTATTTCAGGAGATGGAGGCTTACATACGAGGTCTTATCCCTAATTTAGCACAACTACGGGATATGCCTGCTGCATTTATTCAAATGTATTGTCGCATAGCTGCTCACAAATTCTTCTTCTTTTGTGATCCTCATAGGCGAGGTTTGCGTGGTTACCCCCTTTTACTACAACAGAGTTTTTTCCTTTTTCAGTTATTCAATAATGATAATTTATTTCCCCTTTAATTCATGCAATCATTCTTGATATTGGATTGTTACAGTAATAACATATGTTTGCTTATTACCGCAATCTGTAGGTTCTCTTTAAATGTTTTATTAGAATATAGAGTATGAATTTACCTTTTGGTACATATACTTCATGGTCTCCTCTTAACTAGCTAAATAAAGCTTGAAATCTAACTTTAGTAGGATGGGGTTTCAAATTTTGAAGTCATTCTAACATTAGATGTTATCATTTTGCTGATGACCTAGGCTGATAATTAGTTACTGCAAATAACTTGAAAAGCTGAAGATAACATCAATCACCTAAATGTTTGAAGAGTGAGTTGCAGAATCTTTCGGGGCTTGAAAGGGAAACAGACACATATATTGATCTGCCCTTTAAAAGATGTTAGTTTAATGTATGGATTATGGAAATTCTTGTGATTGCGAATGGTGGGGAAACTTGGGTAAAGATTTAAACGGTCTAATTGTTACTCTGTCTGGTTTTCCTCTTTGTAAGATCATGGTTATTTTTAAGGTATTCTGAACTTCCTTTTCAACTGGCTTTTCAGAATAGTTGACAGTTAGTTTTCTTTACAGGGAAAGCCTGCATAAAGAAGGTGCTTCTTAGCAACTGTCTCCAGGAATTAATGGAATTGCACCAGGTGGGTTATAGATTTATATGTTTTGAATTTCTAGTCGCATGGATAAACAATTGATATTTGTTTTACACCTGCTGGTTTTTTTCTGACACTAAATTCCTTTACTAGAATCTCCATTTGTTTTGTCCCTTTTCCTGTCTCCCCCCCTTCTTTCACGACTCTGTGGCTATGCCAATATGATTTAAGAAGAAACTAAATGAAAAGATTGCGGGAATTTAGGATCTTCTTTCTTAACCTCATGAAATTTGAAACATAGAAATGTGGAGGAAAATCAGGTAGGTCTCATTGATGTATTTTGTGTAGCATATGTATATACTTGAGTTGTACATAAGATAAGTCAGGAACTAACTAACAGATACATCTAAGGAATACAATCCTATCAGCAGCTTAGGAATCCTTTCAGATACATAGATTTTTCACTTTCTAATTCCATCCACTACTTTACTTCCAATATTGAAAACAAAAATCTTGCTACATCTTTCCAAGTCATTTTACTATCGAATGCTAGAAATAGAACTTGTTTGCCTAGAGATGATTTTCTTAGAAATATAATTGACTTGAATGCTGTCGATGCTTGTTACAAGGGAATACAAATGCCCAGTTCTTTCCTGCTTTCTTTATCTGATAAATAATTAGTGCTTAAATGCATTATAGTATGCCTATTCCATTCTCTACAGCCAGTTATAGAAGTGCAAGATAGAACTGTGTGTGAATAACCCCATACATCTTGGTTGGAATCTAAGTTTTCATTCTAACCTTCAACTATAAATAGGAAAGTGAGGAGGAAGTCACTGACAGTGAGCAAGCTGAAAATTGGTTTTCTTTGACATCCGCACAACGCATATGTGGTGAGTGGTTTGAATTTTTATTGTCCTTTTTTATTCTTGTCCAAACTTCTACTAAACTGTTGTCTGTTTATTTAGTTTTAGTTTTTTTTTGTGATGGTTTGATGTGTGCGTGCATTCATTTACAAGCCTTCTTAACTTTGTGATTAAGCATTAAATAGAGATCAGTGCAGTTTGATAATCATCAAATTATCAAGTGGTAATGACATAAGATTATGATAAACATCACAAAAAGAGGTCGGCAATATATGAGTAAATGATTGATGATAGCTGAGAGTCCAGGGCAGAGGAAAGAAAGAAGTGAATGTAAACTCTCTTGAGGTTCACCTGTTGACTATTTCTACAAGGTACATCGATTGAAATTGCTAGTGGTTAGTGATGCAGAACAATTGACTATGAGTTTACAAGGTGTAGATTTGATGATCCAAGCTTCAGGAAATATTGTGATTTGGCTTGGAGCATGAGGTTGAGTCTTAGTTGTGTATCTATTCACTGTTCATTCCTCTGTAGATATGTTCCTTGCCCTTGATAAAGATTCAAATGGAACACTGAGCAAGCAAGAACTTGGAGAATATGCAGATGGTACGCTGACAGGAATCTTTATTGAGAGAGGTAGGAGTTCTTATTCTCCTATGAGAATCTATAATGCTAGACCTTTTGGTTTTGTATCTTAAAAATGTAACTTCCCCTAAGATTATTGTCTCCATTCTGTGTTTGTTATGCTTTTGATAGTGTATGATGAGCATGTCCGCCGTGGAAAAGGTGGTGGAGGGAATACTCGGGAGATGGACTTTGAAAGTTTTCTTGACTTTGTTTTGGCATTAGAAAACAAAGACACTCCTGAAGGGTTGACATATTTATTTCGTTGTCTTGATCTTAGTGGACGGGGATTTCTCATCACACCTGATATTCACACACTTTTCAGGTGAACATTCTTTCAGCATTTAAATTAGCCTGAACTGCATTGCTTCAATTTTCATGTTTGTTTTTATTTTTGTCTTCTTTGGTTGCTAAGAGTGAGTTTGTGAAACTTAAATTTTCATCACGAGCAACCAATTTTAAAACAACATGGAAGTAAAGAAAGGGAGCATCTAAAAGCTGAGAGCTACCTGATACAACCTTCCTAGAGAAAACTCTTTGGTTTCCTGCTTGTAGTGCTTAAGCAATTCTGCAAGCCTCAAATGGTCAGAGACATGAACCTAGATAATAGATTGAAAGGCACCTAAAGATCACAGTTACCATCTGCTGGTCCTTTTGATTTTACAGTTTCAGCTGTTGGTATAAACATTGTCCCGCTTAAACAAGTTTTTTACTTGTCAAACAGAGATGTACACCAGAAATGGATCGAGGGTGGTAACTATGAATTGTGCATTGAGGATGTGAGGGATGAAAGTCGGGATATGGTCAAGCCAGCTGACCCATTGAGGATTACACTCGCTGATCTGCTAGCTTGCAAACAAGGAGGTACTGTAGCCAGCATGCTTATAGATGTGCGTGGTTTTTGGGCACATGACAATAGAGAAAATCTTCTCCAGGAAGAGGAAGAACCAGAAGAAGAGTGACAGTGATATGCTGCTATCATGCGCCATTCATGCACTAACAGAAATCTGTGTATTTCCTTGGGATTCAGAGAGAATGTATTGTTTGATGTGTGCTTTTATGAGCTAATGTCATGTAAAAAGCTGTAACAATTGATGCATTCTGATAGTGAAAAGCTGGCACCATAACAAATTGTTCTGAAAGGAAGTTTTTTTTTTTGGTTCTATAGAGTGTAATTGTGTGATTATTTTTTAAAGCAATTTTTATATTGAAATATATAAAAATAATATTTTTTTTATTTTTAAAAAATTATTTTTAAAATCAGTATAATAAAATAATTTAAAATATATATAAAAAATAATTTTTAACATAAAAAATTAATTTTTTTAAAAACTCGAGTATAACAGTGTTTACATACAACTTAGCCAAACATATACTCTAAGTAGAAATACTGGTTGATGCCCCCTGCCAGAAATAAAGAACTATCAGAAAAGAAAGTAAGTGCACTCCAATATCTGGAGTCAGAATTGCACAAAATAAAACCTAAAATAAAACCTTACATTGCATGGGGGTTTCTTTCAGAATGCTCAGCTTCTCCCGTTTCAGAGGCAAGGCCAATGGGATCTGCATCCATGCGCGCTTCTTTGCGTACAGGATCTGGCCGCTACCTGGGAGCTCTTTCAGGATTCTAACAATTACTTCTTTACCTTATAATCAGTCCGTCTTTTCTTGGCAAATGGTGTTCTTTATGAAATGATCCTTTCTTAAAAGGACAGCCAGCTTAAACCAAACATGAGATGTTTAGATCGAGAGCTTACGCCAAAAAATAAAGAAGTAAAGATGTAAAGCCCGCCCCTACACTCCCCACCTTCCTCAAACAAAGAAGAGCAGCCCATTCCACCGGAAATCATCGAGAAGCTGCGCTCAATGCATCTGCTGATCATGCTTGCTAGGACCAGCACATCATTTTTGCATCCTTTCCAAGAGAACTTCGCTCCTACTTTACCACTGGCGAGATCATCACCATTGCATCTCCATGTTCAAACTCAAATTCCACCCCCAGTTGAGCTTCTTCATCCACAAAATTTGGCTCATTCTCCAGCAACAACAGAGCTACCAATATGATTATTCATGCAATTGAGCAAATGCTTGCGAAATTATCACGGAGAAGTTCATACGTACCACAACCGCCTTTCAATCATAAGAAGTCTTGAAGCCTCAGCCAGTGCAGTTCCTAGCATAGCTTCAGTGCTCCTCCAAATGCAACAAGGCTAAAGATAGAAATGAGCCAAATTACATTTCACACTTGGGATTTGTTTGGGAAAGTTGTAGCTGTGTCTGTGGCGTTAGTTGTGGCTGTTTTGGTTGTACTCAACCACTACTGCGTCATATGTTTCCATGGTAAGAAGCTTTCTGCAAAACATCTAGCAGGACATGTTATTCTCATTATAATGTTAACGTAAATTTTACATTATCTTACAGATGAAGTTGAACGCCTGAAAGTGATGCAATTGTATTTAAATTGTGTACTTCAGCTCATGCCAAATCGTGTTGGCTCAACCACGCAAAAACGGTTGCAACCGTTCAAGAAAGTTGTCTTCAACACCAAGCTGTCCTGACTGAGCATCGGACTTGATTCCAAGGCTTGCAACAAAAAGAGAGGAGGCAAGATGAACAATAACGGATGGATCTGGGTCCTCATGGATGGTCTGTAGCCCTTTGCATCCACGGTTCAATCCTCTGCAGTGTTCTTTATTTCATGAAACCATCTCTTGATATATTCTGAAAGTTCAAAAAAAATGAAATTAGAATCAGTAGGAAGAAAGAATAAGATCAAACAGATTTTCTAATAAACAAAGAAATGGTTCATAACATTGTTTCCTAAAAAGGGAGAAGAACGAACGCATCCTAGCCTAATGCTATTGATTTTCTGGTAATGTATGAAAGCAAAAGTAGGAAGCATCCACCTTAATGCATACTATGAAAAGGCGAGGAATGCATGCAGTCTCACAAAATAATAACTTCGCCAATGTACTTGTCAAAAACACACAACACAACAATTGTGAGCTCGATCAAATGCAGGTTTGGAAGAGAATACTTGCTCGAGACAATTTCTGGAAGATATAGGAACAGCATGCAATCTTCGATTATATATTCTGCACATAGACCTTTTTTATTTTTTATTTTTAAAAAAACCCAATAATTTGAAATGGCACCATATCAACAACACCAACAATGAACTTTTATGGTTATTGGGTTAGGCTTGTACGCCCATAATAGATGGGCTTGGTCAAAGTTATAAAAAAAATTATTAAAAAAAAAAAGTAATTATCTCTTTTAATCATATATAAAGAGACATAACTTATATGGAATATAAAAATTTTTATAATTAAAAAAATATAGTTTTCTCTTTCTCTTCCTCTTCTCCTATCTTAATTCTTTATATTAACTTGACAAGATTTACAAAAATATTTATATTGAGGAATATCATTTTGGTTCTAGTAATTGAATAGACACTCAAGTAATTAATCTAAAAATAAAAAAATGAATTCTCATAAGTAAGTTTTTATTTCTGATCTACATTGGTATCAGAGCTATAGTTTTTAATATTGTTTTTATGCAATATATTTATTATTACATGAACACTAGATGTAAATTTTGATTAAAAGAATACTCCTATTGAGAATTTTAAATTTACAAAATTTTATGAAGTTATTTAGTTATAAATTTTTCCTTTTTACAATTAATTAGAAAAGACTTTCTGCATGGTAGTTGTATAATTCTATTATCGATTCATTTGTAAATTGATGATGGAAATGGAGATTGAAAACTATCATTTCCATTTCCAATTGACAGTACTCAATTGTACTTTGATAATTAATTAATTGTCATTTTTTTATAAAAAAAAAAAGATAAAAATAACCACTTGAAAGAACACATCTTTTCAAAGATGTTTAACTGTTATTTCGCAGTTAATATTATCATTGGCATTCAGTAGTAAATTGGGACTGGTATTTGGCAGTTGTTATTTAAAAAAAAAAACTGAATGAACACATCTTTTAAAAGATATGTACATACATTAACTACTGTTCAATAGTTAATATATATTAACATTGTTAATATTTATTAAAATATAAAATAAAATTAAGACAATTAATATTTTTTTGTTAATATAAATTGTCAAAATGTGAAGTAATTTATTTATTGTTAAAATAAATTGCTTAATTTTCATATTTTTTTTTAACATATATGATGATACATGCTTTCATTAAATATTAAGTATAATATTGATGTACTTTTGGAATATTTTGTTATATTGGATAGGCAATAACCAATTGATCATTTATTGGGTTATGCCTTTAATCCTGTTCATAAAATTCAAGAGTACATTGATTATATGTATCATTAAATGATTAGACTGGCAATGAGTAGTGTTTACGAATTCTGCATAGAACATTAAATGTTAATCGTTCTCAATTCTCTGTCTAAGGAATAGATGTTGGTGCAACTATCATTGGAATATAGGTTGGAATCCTTAGATTTTAACAATCTCGCAGATGGAATGTTGCTTGAAAGGGAACGTCAATATGTCAAAAAGGGTATACGACGCATTGAAAGAAGTGCGCAAGTCGTTTGGATCCTGCTACTAAATTCATTCCATAGTTTAAGCAGAATGAACTTAGAGGAGATGACTTTAATGAAATGGATGACGTATTTGGAGACCCTACTTATGTGCCTCAAATATAAAATAATTTTGAAAAGTATTATTCTTAATATTGAATATTTTTAAGATGATTGATTGTTTAATTGTGAACTCAATATTTTATGTAATTTAAGTTTAATTACATTATATACATATATATGATAATATCTACAATCTGATTAGTGGGAGTTGTTAATTGAAACTAATAACTATAATTTTGCACTCATTTAAATTTTCAATAATAATTAGACCATAAAGAGAAATTGATTAAGTGTTTATTTTTTTTTGTTATATGTGTTAGATTATTATTATTTTTAATTTAGAATGGAGTGGAAAAATATGTCAATAAAATTATACTAGACAATAATATTTGTAATTGTTGTCAATAGCACTTAATATGACTGCATCTAAGAGTATTATTATTGATTTGAACTATGGAGACAAACAAAATGAAAAGAATTACGATGTTTGGCATTGTAAGATTAAGTATCTCTTGGAAGAGTAAGAAATGCTTGAAACAATCACACAACCGATGGCTGAACCTAAACAAGGAAGCACTACTCAGCACAGGCTTGATATGAAAACATATCAAACCTATAAATGCAATGATCGTATAGCTCAGATTTTGATGTTAAGCAGCATGAGAAATGATATTATCTTGCATTTTAAAAGGCATCATTCAACTCAATATGTTTGGGATGCAATAAAGATTCAGTATGGAGGAACCTCCACTACTAGACTTCGTCAGCTAACTCTCAAATTCGATGGTTATAAGAAACGCCAAAATCAAATAATAAGGGCATCTTATAATCATATCTAATATGATTAGTGAATTAAGGGGGTACTGAGCATGAGATGACTTATGAATAATAAGTCCAAACAGTCATCCGCTCTTTGCCAAGTAATTGGAAACACATACATGTTAACCTTACCTACAATGACAACATTAAGACATTTAACGATGTTGCTCATCATATCGAGCTTGAAAAAGATTGACTTCAAGCTGAAAAGCCTATAAATGAGGCTTTTATATCTGAGATAAAGATGCGTGGAGCATATGGCTCTAAATATAAAAAGGGTAAGTGACACGACTAAAAGATGGTAAGACCGGGGTCGAACTACATGGAGGTTAATTGTATAAATTATAGATAACAATAATATAACAATAATAATAACAAAAATAGTAGTACTAATAGTAGTAGTAGTAGTTGTAGTAGTAGTAGTAGTAATAAAGAAGTTGATGAGAACGTTTGACAAGACCAAAAGATTGTTGTCTTCTCCCAAGTGCAGGAGTGTCAAAGTAATAAATAACCCGGCAAGACCGAGGTCGAACCACAGGGAGGCTAATTGTACAAATTATAAACAACAATAATAGCAATAACAACAATAATAACAATAACAACAACAACTATAATAGTAGTAGTAGTAGTAGTAGTACTAATAATAATAAAGAAAGAGAAGAAGAAGAAGATGATGAGAACTTGGAGATGGAAAATTAATGTAAGGATTAAATAATGATAACAAACAATGTCAAGGTTAGAGGATCCACTAATGGTATGTCAAATAAGTATAGTATAAACTCTTATTATTCAATTGGAAACCACACACAAAGAAGGTTCCAGTCTGATTATAGATTGTTAACATGATTACATTAGTCATCTTATTCGATTAATGCTAATACTTGTAAATTTCGTCAAGCATTCATGATTATAACTTATGTTAACAATAAATCAAGTTCCTTTCATAACTCAGTTGTCGGTTATACCATACAATATGAACTATGAAAGTGCCAAGCATTCGTTGTACCAAGTGTTATACAACATAAATCAAGATTAGACATTTAACAAGCAAAGTATTAAAGAGTGAACAAGATAACAAATACAAAACATGTTAGTATCAAACATTACAGTCCATATTAAGTTTACATTATACTTATTCTTACACCATTAGTATACCCTTTTCACCTTGACATAATAAACTTAGCTAGACATAATGAAAGAAAGAAAAATAGATAAACAAAATAAGAACATAAATAAGATAAAAGTTAACTAAGTAAAGGAAAGAAAATGAAAGGCATAAACTTGATATTAATGAAAGCAAAGCATAAAAATTACAAAAAATACAAAGAGAGAAAGCAAGGGCATGATCTTAATCCGGAAACCAAGATGCCTAAATGCATGGCAAATGCCTCCTTTTATAGGCCAAAATTAGGAACTATTGATTTAATGATTAATTGATGAGTGGGTGACCAACTCTCGACTTGGTGACAATCCTTATCTTCTCTTATCTGCCCAAAACATCACTGATAACGTCAAAATTAGAGCCACTTGAAAACATGAAAGTTGTAGGAACTTGTCTCAGGTTTCTTGTGTAAAACATTCAGCTCATTTGGACTTCTAGAACTCCAGATATGGGCCAAATACTGAATAGTGCTCGGGCTGGAAGACAAATTCGGACTTCTTTGTTGTTGCTGCAATTTGGACTTGAAAATGACCTTTTTAGATCTTGGGCTCCATATGAAAGTTGTATACCTATGTCTTACCTTTCCATCCATATAAAGTAGACCTAAATCTGAGATCTATAGCTCTAGATATGACCCAATTACCGAACAATATTCCAGCATGGACTGCACCAGCATCTCTTTTCTAAGTTTGGTCATCTCTTTGTCCTTTCAATTTCAGTTCTTAAATTCATCAATCAATCCTTTCATTTATGTGATAGGCCTGCATTAAAAATAGACATTTACCACAAATTATAGGTATCTTATATTATTAGATACATTATTATAAAACATATTTTAGTTAAGGAGTTATTGATACTTCAAATGCAAAATGATGATATAAAACCTTGATAAAAATGCACTTTTAAGTACTAATCACACCCCCCAACCAACTTATTACTAGTCCCTAGT